AAGATAAGAAGATTTTTCCCTTTCATGATAGCGCAACAGACTGGGACAAATTTTTCACCATTTGTGTTTTAGGCGTCAGACTGTATTTGTTCAAAGATCCGATTAGTACTCTTTCAAAGGCAAAAGCCAAGTTTAAAATATTGTTTGCTCTTCATTACACAATTGTTGCGTTGTTTTACTACCTTCTCTTTACAGTTTTTAAATTTCTGATAAAACAACGTAACTTAGTTATTGAAAACAAATAAATGTGAAAATGTATTACTCCTTCTCACTTCCTGTCGTCCTGTTTCATTATTGCTTGCAAAGAATCCAAAGAACCCAAGGAATCCAAAGAATCTAAAGAATCCAAACTATGAATTTTCTCAATTTAAATAAAATAAGCCAATGAAATTCAAAAGCGGAAGTGGATGAGGTTCGTTTTACCTTCTTTTGTCTCCGTTCCTCTGTTTTCAGCATAAAATCGACCCTTCGTCCAATAAAATGGGTGATCTAAAAGAAAACGGTGTGGAAGAAATCCAAATAATTCAAAAAATCCATAACATCTAAAAAAATCCAAAAAATCTAGAATATCCAAGAGATCCAAAAATGCAAAAAAAATCCAGAAAATTCAGAATATCCAGAAGAATCAGAGTACCCAGAAAATCCAGAGAATCTAAAAAATCCAAAAAATTCAAAAATCCGGAAAATCTAGATAATCCAGAAAATCCTGACATTCAAAAAAATCCAAAAAATTCAAAAATCCGGAAAATCCAGAAAATGCAGAAATTCCAGAAAATACAGAGAACCCAGAAAATCCAAAAAAATCTAAAAGATCCAAAATTCAAAAGATTAAAAACTTAAAAAATCTAAAAGATCCAGAAGATCTCGAAAATTCAGACAATACAGGAAATTCAAGAAATCTAAAAAATGAAATCCAAGAATTTCGAGAAAAGCAGGAAACCCAGGAAATCTAAGTGCTGATTCACAATGGGCATAAAGCATAAGGATGTCCTAAGCGTTAATGCATAAAAATTTATATTTAGTGCTCTATGCTTGTATTCGTTCATATAAAATTTTAAGTTCAGAAAATCCAGAAAATAAAATCAAAGAATTCCGGGAAAAGCAGGAAACTAAGGAAATCCAAAATATAAAAAAAAAAAAAAAAAAATAAAAAAAAAACAAAAAATTAAGAAAATCCTGAAATTCCAGAATATCCAAAAGATCCAGAGCATCTAGAATATCGAGAATATTCAGAAAATCCAGAAAGTCAAGAAAATCCACAGAATCTAAAAAATCCAAAATATTCAAAAATCTAAAATATCCAGAGACCCCAAAAAATTTCAAAAAATACAAAAAATATAAAAAATTCAAAAACTCCACACAATCCAAAAAATAAAATCCAAGAATTCTGGGAAACCAAGGAAGTCCAAGAAATTCAAGAAATCCAAAAAATAAAAAAAAATCAAAAAATCCAGAAAATTCAGAATATCCAGAAGATCTAGAGCATCCAGAGTATCGAGAATTTCCAGAAAATACAGAAAAAGCAGAAAATATAGAAAGTCCAGAAATCCAGAGAATCTAAAAAATCAAAAAAAATTAAAAAATCCAAAAAATTAAAAAATCCGAAAAATCTAGATAACCCAGAAAATCCGAAGAATCTAAAAAACCTAAAAAAATTAAAATCCGAAAAATCGAGAAAATGCAGAAATTCCAGAAAATTGAGAAAATTAAAAAAATCCAAAAAATACAAAAAGTCCAAAAAATACAGACTATTAAGAAAATCCAGAATATCCAGAAGATCAAGAGTATCGGTAATATCGTGAATATCCACAAAATTCAGAAAATAAAATCTAAGAATTCCGGGAAAGGTTGGAAACTAAAAACAAAAAATCCAGAAAATTAAGAAAATCCAGAAAGTCTAGAAAATCCACAGAATCTAAAAAATCCAAAATATTCAAAAATCTAAAAAATCCAGAAACTCCAAAAAAATTTTAAAAATACAAAAAATATTAAAAATTCAAAAAATCCACACAATCCAGAAAATAAAAACGAAGAATTCTGGGGAACCAAGGAAATCCGAGAACTTCAAGAAATCCAAAAAATAAAAAAAACAGAAAATTAAGAAAATTCGGAATATCCAGAAGATCCAGAGCATCCAAAATATCGAGAATATCCAGAAAATACAGAAAATTCAGAAAATCCTGAGACTCTAAAAAACCCAAAAAATTTTATAAAATCCGAAAAATCGAGAAAATGCAGAAATTCCAGAAAATTCAGAAAATGCAAAAAATCCAAAAAATACAAAAAGTCCAAAAAATACAAAAAATCCACAAAATCTAGGAAATCCAAAAAATCTAAAAGGTCCAAAATTCAAAAGATCCAAAACTCAAAAGATCTAAAAGATCCAGAAGATCCCAAAAATTCAGGAAATTTAAGAAATCTAAAAAATAAAATCCAAGAATTCCGGTAAAAGCAGGAAACCAAGGAAATCCAAGAAATTCAAGAAATTGAAAAAATAAAAAAAATCCAAAAAATCCAGACCATTAAGAAAATCCAGAATATCGAGAAGATCAAGAATATCGGTAATATCGAAAATATCCACAAAATCCAGAAAATAAAATCTAAGAATTCCGGGAAAGGTAGGAAACTAAGGAAATCCAAGAAATTCAAGAAATCCAAAAAATAAAAAAAAACAAAAAATCCAGAAAATTAAGAAACTCCAGAATATCCAGAAGATCTAGAGCATCCAGAATATCGAGACTATCCAGAAAATACAGAAAATACAGAAAACCTAGAAAATCCAGAAAATCCAGAGAATCTAAAAAATGCAACAAATTTTAAAATCCGAAAAATGCAGAAATTCCAGAAAATCGAAAAAGTACATAAAATACAAAAGTCCAAAAAATTTGAAAAATCACAAACTCTAGAAAATCCAAAAAAATCTGAAAGATCCAAAATTGAAAGATCCAAAACTCAAGAGATCTAAAAGATCGAGAGGATTCCGAAAATCCAGGAAATTCAAGAAATTAAAAAAATAAAATCCAAGAATTCCGGGAGAAGCAGGAAACCAAGGAAATCCAGAAATTCAAGAAATTCAAAAATCCAAAAAATTCAAAAAATCCAGAATATCCAGAAAATCTAAAAAATCCAAAAAATCTAAAAATCTAAAAAATCCAAAAAATCAAGTTAATCCAAAAGATCCAAAAAAAATCTAAAAGATCCAAAATTCAAAAGATGCAAAATACAAAAAATCCAAAAGATCCAGAAGTTTCAGAATATCCAGAAAATCCAGGCAATCCAGAAAATTCAAGAAATCTATAAAATAAAATCCAAGAATTCCGGGAAAAGAAGGTAACCCAGGAAATCCTAGAAACCCAAAAAATTCAAAAATCCGAAAAATCCAGAGAATCTCAAAATACAAAAAATTCAAAAATTCGGCATAAAATGCAAAAATCCAGAAAACCAAGAAAATCCAGAAAATCCAAAAAATCTAAAATATTGAAAAATCTAAAAATCCGGCAAATTAAAAAAATACAAAAAAATTAAAAATCCACAAAATCTAGAACATCCAAAAAATTCCAAAAAATCCGAAAAATCCAGATAATCCAGAAAATCCAGAGAATCTAACAAATCCAAAAAATTTAAAAACCCCAAAAATCCACAAAATGCCGAAATCCAGATAGGTAATCCAGAAAACCTAGAAAATCCAGAAAATCCAGAGAATCTAAAAAATGCAACAAATTTTAAAATCCGAAAAATCCAGAAAATGCAGAAATTCCAGAAAATCGAAAAAATACAAAAACTTAAAAAAATCACAAACTGCAGAATATCCAAAAAAAATCTAAAAGGTCCAAAATTAAAAGAACCAAAACTCAAGAGATCTAAAAGATCGAGAAGATCCCGAAAATCGAGGAAATTCAAGAAATTTAAAAAATAAAATCCAAGAATTCCGAGAGAAGCAGGAAACCAAGGAAATCCAGAAATTCAAGAAATCCAAAAATCCTAAAAATTCAAAAAATCCAAAATATCCCGAAAATCTAAAAAATCCAAAAAATCCAAAAATCTAAAAAAGGCAGAAAATCTTAAAGTCTTCTGGTGTATAAATGTTTAATTTGTTTTTAATACTTTTAATCGTTCCATCTTTCAAAGCCGCACCAAGTCTCACTTCTATCTACCGAGTCTTCTAATTTCTCACTTTATTTTTGATTCTCTCACGTAAATAAATTAAAATTTAGTATTTTTCGCGATTTTTAAAAGTTTTTTTTTCCAAAAACTGTATTCAGTGCGTCAAATTTTCCCTTAGGATTATCCCATTTTCTTCAATGCAACCTGTGTAATAAAACTACAGTGTGATAACTGATCAACAATCACTATTTCAGTTGGTAGACCTGTCACTCCACCTTCCCTCCTGTTCTCAAAACTAACATTACGTAAAATTTGTTATCGTTATTATTATTATTAAAATATCATAAGCAAACTTTCTTGAGCGCTTAAAATTGACATAGCGCCACGCATTTAAATCAGGTTTGGCAATAGCAGCGCAAGAAAATCAAGAAAATCGGAATTGGTTAGTTGCCAACTCAAACGGTACTTGTTGAGCACGCTGAATAATAAAATTAAAGTTCAAGAATTAAACTGTTTGCGTTAAATTAATAATTATGGTATGCTCGATTGCCGTGGCCTTTATAAGTGTATTGATATATACTGAATGTTGGAATGAGCAAGAGCAGTCAACCAAAGAGCTGGACAGTGTAGCCAACATTGAAGATTAAATTGTAAGTATACAATGTTTAATTTCAATTTAAGTAAAAAGGTTACAATTGTGTTATATTTATTAACAAAAACTGTTAAAATGACCTGTCGATAAGATTTGTATATTGTGTGCATACTTCTTCATTTCGCGGAATAATTTTTCAAAATCAAGTTATCTGATTTTACTTATATAATTTTTTCAAAAAATGATAATAATGATGCCAGTTATTGCAGCTAGAACGGAAGACAAATAAATAACAACCACGACCATGTCGAATGACAGTCAAATCGCCCACTTTTTCAAAAACCAAACAATTTTCCTAGCAACCGGCCTTATTGGTAAACTTCTTGTGGAAAAACTGCTCCGAACAAGTTTTGACTTGAAAAAGATTTACATTTTGATGCGTGCCAAACATGGCAAAAATCCGCAGCAACGTTTCGACGACTTCTTCGATAATCCAGTAACTAACAACATGGTCGTTTTCAACTCCTCCAAGATTATGATTTCAGTGTTTTGAGAACATTAACCGGAAGGACTTCATAAGTAAGGTTTCGTTTATTGGTGGCGACTGCAAGAAACCTGATCTAGGACTAGAACCTGAAGATGTCGATATTTTGAAAAACGAAACCACGTGTGTTTTCCACATTGCTGCCAACGTCAATTTTCAGCAGACGATAAAAGAATCTAGTTATAATGTCAAAGCCACCAAAGAAATGATAACGTTGACTGGAAAGATGGAAATGTTGAAAGTAAAGTCAGTGTTGGAACATGACGGTGAATAAATAAAATCAATTCCAGATTTTTGTCTACGTGTTTACAGCCTACTCCAATTGCTTAAATAGTCACATTCGTGACGAAATTTATCAACCACCCATAAAAGCACAAGCATTTCTCGATTTAGTTGACTCTTGTAACGAAGACGATTTAGAAAACACACTTTTAGCGTGAGTAGTGAAACGGAGGTCCTACTAGGTGCAGTTACAAATGTTTTCTACGTTGTTTCGAAATGTTTATCAGAAGATTTAATTAAAAGCTTAGCCATCGGGATATCAACAGCGATCATTCGGCCAGCAATTGGTAATTTCTTCGTGCTATAAAAAGTAAAAACCCAACTACATATTGCTGCTTTAGTTACGAATACCATCGAAGAACCCATTCCAGGATATATTGACAATTACCACGGTTTCAGTGGTCTTGTGGTTGGGGGTTACATGGGTCTAATCCAGACTTTGTATGTAAAAAAAGAAGTTCAAATGAATTTGGTTCCGGCAGACGTTGTTTGTAATTGTATTTTGGCAGCAGCGTGGCATACTGCCAACTGCAAAACTTTGACTGTGTTTAACTGTGTTGGCAAAAAAATATCTTAAGGTGGATGCACACATTTTTGGTGTTTTGTTATAAATATACATAATATAAATTGTTTCTTCCAGAAAAGTCAACAAACTTAATGAAAAGCTTTTACTGGGAATTTCCATTTGTCAAGTACTTATGGTATCAAAAGACTTCAATAACTGACAGTAAATTCTGGTACAATGTCAACACTTTCCGGATGTTAATATTAGCGTACTGCATAGATGCGATTTTCTTGTGTGTAAAAAAACCAGTTGGGTATTTTTAGCCTTGAAGGATGTAACTACATAATTATGTATCTATTTATATATTTTCCAGGGCTAGAAAATTGTGTAAACAAATTACTAAACAACTAGATTCTTTGTCGTACTTCACTTCTCGGAAATGGAGCTTCAGCGAAGACAATTTTATGAATTTGTGGAATAAAATGGGAGATCGGGATAGGGCCATATTTCCCTTTCATGTAGACCGAATAGACTGGAACGAATATTTACACAATTGTGCGTCAGGCATAAGGCTCTACTTACTCAAAGAACCGATTACTACTCTTCCAAAAGCTAAAGAAAAACTTAAAATATTATTTGCTCTTCACTACACAACTGTCGCGTTGTTCTATTATTTTCTTTACTTGCTCTTTGAATTTCTGATAAAAACCATCTCTGATAAGTACTGCCGATTTCTTGGTGTCTTAAAAACGCCACAAATTTCAAGAGATCGATAGCCGCATTTACGTATTAGTATCCATATATTGTGCACGTGTTACAAATAAAATTTAATACAAATTCTAACATTTACTTACAATTATGAATTTTAATCTCGAATAAGAATTTTTTGCTGTTTAACATATCACGAGAGCGTATGGCGAATTTAAATGTTGTTTATTGCTCTTTTTGAAACTTTAACACTTGTTCGGTTGTAGTTTAATATCAGAGTTATAGAAATTGAATATTTAAACGGAATTAAAGTAAATAACACAGAAACACGTGGCGGAAGCGGAGTGCGCGGTTCCTTGTCGAGCTGGCGGTCGCGCCATCTGCACAAAAGGCGCAGATTTTGAATAGAAGTAAGGGAAGCGGTCAGGACGCCGTGACGCTCACGGCTTGTACCAATAGCCGGGATTTCCAACCACGAGTTTGCGACCGTAACGGCCTGCTCGCGCGGCAAGGTATAAATTTACAACATAATTTTTAAACCTTGTTATTGACAAACTGGTTCAGTTAGGTACACGAAAAACAGTTCGACTGATAAATGAACATTTTTTTTAATTTATTGTGTTTTTGTTTTGTTTCTACTTTCATTATTTATTTATTTATTCCTGTCGGGCTCCATAAATTATTATTAAGCATTTTGTTCAACCCCGTTTCATAGTGTGTTCAACCATGTCGAGTAGCAGTCAAATCGCCGAATTTTCAAAAACCAAACATTTTTTTTAACTGGAAGAACCAGCCTCATTGTAAAACTTCTTGTAGAAAAACTGCTACGAACAAGTTTTGACTTTGTGCGTAGCAAACATGGCAAAAATCCTAAGCAACGTTTTGATCCGGTAACTAACATATATGTTCTCATTTTCAATTGTCCCAAAATTATGATTTTAGTGTTTCGAGAAAATTAACGAGAAGAACTTCAAGAGTAAAGTTTCGTTTATTAGTGGCGACTGCCTGAAACCTGGTCTAAGAGTAAAGTCTGAAGATGTCGACATTTTGAAAAAAGAAACGACGTGCATTTTTCACATTGCCGCTAATCTCAATTTTCGACAAACGATAAAAGAAGCCAGTTATAATGTCAGTTCCACCAAAGAAATGATAAAGTTGGCTAAAGAGATGGAAAATTTGAAAGTAAAATCAGTTTTCTAACCAGCACGGTAAATAAATGGAAAATTCCAGATCTTTGCCTACGTGTCTACAGCCTACTCAAATTGCTTGAACAGCCACATTCGCGAAGAAATTTATCCACCACCTATAAAAGCACAAGCATTTCTGGACTTAGTTAACTCTTGCAACGAAGACGAGTTGGAAAAAATACTTTTACCGTGAGTACTACAAAACGGAGACCCGACACCCTATTGGAATTTTTTTCTAGTTATGTAACTAAATGGCCAAATAACTACGCCTTCTCAAAGTGTTTATCAGAAGATTTAATTAAGGATTCACTAACTGAGATACCAGCAGCAATCATTCGTCCGTCAGTTGGTAATTTCTACACGCTGTAGAGATTAAAAGTGATTAACTGGGTTTCAGTTACGAATACTATTAACGACCCGGTTCCAGGATGGGTTAACAATTATCATGGTTTCGTTGGTGTAGCAGCCGCAGGATACGTGGGTGGAATGCAGAATCTTTATGGAAAAAAGGAAAAGAAGGTGTATTTAGTTCCAGCAGATTTCGTTTCTAACTGTATTTTGGCGGCAGCATGGGAAACCGCAAACTCGAAATCTGTCAAAGTGTTCAACTGCGTTGGTAAAAGTATATCCCTTGGTGGGTAAACAGGTTTATGGTTTTCATGACCATACAAAATATTTTTTGTAGAAAGATTAATAAATGGATTGAATAGTCTCTACTGGAAATTTCCATCAATGAAATGCTTGTGGTACCCACACATAGTGATAATTCAAAATAAATTTTGGTACGACCTGAAAGCTTACTGGACGTTAATGTTAGCCTATTGTATTGATTTTATTTTTTTTTTGTTTTAAAAAACCAGTCGGGTAATTTTTCATCGAAATAGGTAACCGTGTGTACTGGTTAATTTATTTCAGGGCTACAAAAATACGCAAACGAATAGTTGAACAAGTAAATGTTTTATCATATTTTATAACTCACGAGTGGAAGTTTGACGAAGACAGATTTATTAAACTATGGAAGAAAATGGGAGACGAAGATAAGAAGATTTTTCCCTTTCATGATAGCAAAACAGACTGGGACAAATTTTTCACCATTTGTGTTTTAGGCGTCAGACTGTATTTGTTCAAAGATCCGATTAGTACTCTTTCAAAGGCAAAAGCCAAGTTTAAAATATTGTTTGCTCTTCATTATACAATTGTTGCGTTGTTTTACTACTTTCTGTTCATAGTTTTTAGATTTCTGATAAAACAACGTAACTTAGTTAGTGAAAACAAATAAATGTTGAAAATGTATTAGTCCTTCTCACTTCCTGTCGTCCTGTTTCATTATTGCTTACAAAGAATCCAAAGAACCCAAGGAATCCAAAGAATCTAAAGAACCCAAACTATGGATTTTCTCAAGTTAAATAAAATAAGCCAATGAAATTTAAAAGCGGAAGTGGATGAGGTTCGTTTTACCTTCTTTTGTCTCCGTTCCTCTGTTTTCAGCATAAAATCGACTCTTCGTCCAATAAAATGGGTGATCTAAAAGAAAACGGTGTGGAAGAAATCTAAATAATTCAAAAAATCCATAACATCTAAAAAAATCCAAAAAATCTAGAATATCCAAGAGATTCAAAAAATGCAAAAAAAATCCAGAAAATTCAGAATATCCAGAGGAATCAGAGTACCCAGAAAATCGAGATTATTCAGAAAATCTAGAGAATCTAAAAAACCCAAAAAATTCAAAAATCCGGAAAATTCAGAAATTGCAGAAATTGCAGAAAATCCAAAATATTCAAAAATCTAGAAAGGATTTTTATTATATGCTGGATAATACAAAAAATCTACAAAATCTTGAAAATCCAATAAAATCTAAAAGTTCCAAAATTCAAAAGAACAAGAACTCAAAAGACCTAAACGATCCAGAAGATTCCGAAAATTCAGGAAATTTAAGAAATCTAAAAAATAAAATCCAGGAATTCTGGGAAAAGCAGGAACCAAGGAAATCCAAGAAATTCAAGAAATCCAAAAAATAAAAAAAGGCCAAAAAACCCTGACCATTAAGAAAATCCAGAATATCCAGAAGATTAAGGGCCGGTTGCATAAACGCAAATCAAATTTAATCTCTGATTAAGAACAATTGTAACTATGATAATAACAATCGTTACTATGGAGTTAATCAGAGATTAAATTTGATTTGCGTTTATGCAACCGGCCCCAAGAGTATCGGTAATAACGAGAATATCCACAAAATCCAGAAAATAAAATCTAAGAAGTCCGGGAAAGGTAGGGAACTAAGGAAATCTAAGAAATTCAAGAAATCCAAAAAATAAAAAAACAAAAAATCCAAAAAGTTAAGAAAATCCAGATAGTCTAGAAAATCCACAGAATCTAAAAAATCCAAAATATTCAAAAATCTAAAAAATTGAGAAACTTCAAAAAATTTAAAAAAATACAAAAAATATGAAAAATTCAAAAACTCCACACAATCCAGAAAATAAAATCCAAGAATTCTGGGGAACCAAGAAAATCCAAGAACTTCAATAAATCCAAAAAATAAAAAAAAAATCCAGAAAATTAAGAAAATCCGGAATATCCAGAAGATCCAGAGCATCCAGAATATCGAGAAAATCTAGAAAATACAGAAAATTCAGAAAATCCTGAGACTCTAAAAAACCCAAAAAATTTTAAAATCCGAAAAATCGAGAAAATGCAGAAATTCCAGAAAATCCAGAACATTAAAAAAAATGCAAAAAATACAAAAAGTGCAAAAAATCCAAAAAAATCCACAAAATCTAGGGAATCCAAAAAAATCTAAAAGGTCCAAAATTCAAAAGATCCATAACTCAAAAGATCTAAAAGATCGAGAAGATCCTGAAAATTCAGGCAATTTAAGAAATATAAAAATAAAATCCAAGAATTCTGGGAAAAGCAGGAAACCAAGGAAATCCAAGAAATTCAAGAAATCCAAAAAATAAAAAAAATCCAAAAAATCCGGTCCATTAAGAACATCCAGAATATCCAGAAGATCAAGCGTATCGGTAATATCGAGAATATCCACAAAATCCAGAAAATAAAATCTAAGAATTCCAAATCTAAAAAATAAAAAAAAACAAAAAATCCAGAAAATTAAGAAAATCCAGAAATTCCAGAATATCCAAAAGATCCAGAGCATCCAGAATATCGAGAATATTTAGAAAATCCAGAAAGTCTAGAAAATCCACAGAATCTAAAAAATCCAAAATATTCAAAAATCTAAAAAATCCGGAAACTCCAAAAAATTAAAAAAAAATACAAAAAATACATAAAAAATTCAAAAACAGCACACAATCCAGAAAATAAAATCCAACAAATCTGGGAAACCAAGGAAATTCAAGAAAGTCAAGAAATCCAAAAAATAAAAAAAAACAAAAATTCCAGAAAATTAAGAAAATCCAGAATATCCAGAAGATCTAGAGCATCTAGAATATTGAGAATATCCAAGAAATGCAGAAAATCTAGAAAATATAGAAAGTCCAGAAAATCCAGAGCATCTAGAAATCAAAAAAATTTAAAAAATCTAAAAAATTTAAAAATCCGAAAAATCCAGATAATCCAGAAAATCCAAAGAATCTAGAAAACCCAAAAAAATTTAAAATCCGAAAAATCAAGAAAATGTAGAAATTCTAGAAAATTCAGAAAATTAAAAAAATCCAAAAATAGAAAAAGTCCAAAAAATACAAAAAATCCACAAAATCTAGGAAATCCACAAAAATCTAAAAGGTCCAAAATTCAAAAGATCAAAAACTCAAATGATCTAAAAGACCCAGAAGATCCCGGAAATTCAGGAAATTTAAGAAATCTAAAAAATAATATCCAAGAATTCCGGGAAAAGCAGGAAACCAAGGAAATCCAAGAAATTCAAGAAATCCAAGAAATAAAAAAAATCCAAAAAATCCAGACCATTCAGAAAATCCAGAAGATCAAGAGTATCGGTAGTATCGAGAATATCCACAAAATTCAGAAAATAAAATCTAAGAATTCCGGGAATGGTAGGAAACTAAGGAAATCCAAGAAATTCAAGAAATCAAAAAAATAAAAAAAAAATACAAAAAATAAAAAAAAATACAAAAAATAAAAAAAAAATCCAAAAAATAAAAAAAAACAAAAAGTCCAGAAAATTAAGAAAATCCAGAAAGTCAAGAAAATCCACAGAATCTAAAAAATCCAAAATATTCAACAATCTAAAAAATCCAGAGACCCCAAAAAATTTAAAAAAATACAAAAAATATAAAAAATTCAAAAACTCTACACAAAAAATAAAATCCAAGAATTCTGGGAAACCAAGGAAATCCAAGAAATTCAAGAAATCCAAAAAATTAAAAAAATCCAAAAAAAACAGAAAATTAAGAAAATCCAGAATATCCAGAAAATCTAAAACATCCAAAAAATCCAAAAAACCAAAAAATCCAAAAAATATAGTTAATCCAAAAGATTAAAAAAAAATCTAAAAGATACAAAATTCGAAAGATGCAAAACACAAAAATCCAAAAGATCCAGAATACCCAGAAAATCCAGGCAATCCAGAAAATTCAAGAAATCTATTAAAGAAATCCAAGAATTCCGGGGAAAGAAGGAAACCCAGGAAATCCAAGAAACCCAAAAAATTCAAAAATCCGAAAAATCCAGAGAATCTAAAAATACAAAAAATTCAAAAATTCGGCATAAAATGCAGAAAATCCAGAAAACCAAGAAAATCTCCAGAAAATCCAAAATATTAAAAAATCTAAAAAATGCACAAATTTTAAAATCCGAAAAATCCAGAAAATGCAGAAATTCCAGAAAATCGAAAAAATACAAAAAATGCAAAAGTCCACGAAATTTATAAATCACAAACCCCAGAAAATCCAAAAAAGAATCTAAAAGGTCCAAAATTAAAAGATCCAAAACTCAAGAGATCTAAAAGATCGAGAAGATCCCGAAAATCCAGGAAATTCAAGAAATTTAAAAAATAAAATCCAAGAATCACGGGAAAAGCAAGAAACCAGAAACTCAAGAAATCCAAAAATCCAAAAAATTCAAAAAATCCACAATATCCCGAAAATCTAAAAAATCGAAAAAATCCAAAAATCTAAAAAAACTGAGAAAATCTCAACGTCTTCTGGTGTATAAATAAATGTTTAATTTTTTTTAATACTTTTAATCGTTCCATCTTTCAAAGCCGCACCAAGTCTCATTTCTATCTACCGAGTCTTCTAATTTCTCACTTTATTTTTGATTCTCTCATGTAAATGCATAAAAATTTAGTATTTTTCGCGATTTTTAAGTTTTTTTTTTCCAAAAACTATATTCAAGGCATCAAATTTTTCCTTAGGATTATCCCATTTTTTTTTATACAACCTGTGTAATAAAACTACAGTGTGATAACTGATCAACAATCACTATTTCAGTTGGTAGACCTGTCACTCCACCTTCTCTCCTGTTCTCAAAACTAACATTACGTAAAATTTCTTATCGTTATTATTATTATTAAAATGTCATAACATAAGCAAACTTTCTTGAGCGATTAAAATTGACATAGCGCCACGCATTTAAATCAGGTTTGGCAATAGCAGCGCAAGAAAATCGGAATTGGTTAGTTGCCAACTCAAACGGTACTCATTGAGTACGCTGAATAATAAGATTAATAATTAGTTCAAGAACTAAACTGTTTGCGTTAAATTAATAATTATGATATGCTCGATTGCCGTGGCCTTTTTAAGTGTATTGATATATACTGAATGTTGGGATGAGCAAGAGCAGTCGATTATCAACCAAAGAGCTGGACAGTGTAGCCAACATTGAAGATTAAAGTGTAAGTATACAATGTATAATTTCAATTTAAGTAAAAAGGTCACAATTGTGTTATATTTATTAACAAAAACTGTTAAAATGACCTGTCGATAAGATTTGTATATTGTGTTGCATACTTCTTCATTTCGCGGAATAATTTTTCAAAATCAAGTTATCTGATTTTACTTATATAATTTCTTCAAAAAATGGTGATAATAATAATGCCATTTATTGCAGCTAAAACGGAAGACAAACAAATAACAACCACGACCATGTCGAATGACAGTCAAATCGCCGACTTTTTCAAAAACCAAACAATTTTCCTAACCGGAGCAACCGGTCTTGTTGGTAAACTTCTTGTGGAAAAACTGCTCCGAACAAGTTTTGACTTGAAAAAGATTTACATTTTGATGCGTGCCAAACACGGCAAAAATCCGCAGCAACGTTTCGACGACTTCTTCGATAATCCAGTAACTAACAACATGGTCGTTTTCAACTCCTCCAATATTAAGATTTCAGTGTTTTGAGAACATCAACAGGAAGGACTTCATAAGTAAGGTTTCGTTTATTGGTGGCGACTGCAAGAAACCTGATCTAGGACTAAAACCTGAAGATGTCGATATTTTGAAAAACGAAACCACGTGTGTTTTCCACATCGCTGCCAACGTCAATTTTCAGCAGACGATAAAAGAATCTAGTTATAATGTCAAAGCCACCAAAGAAATGATAACGTTGGCTGGAAAGATGGAAAAGTTGAAAGTAAAGTCAGTGTTGGAACATGACGGTGAATAAATAAAATCAATTCCAGATTTTTGTCTACGTGTCTACAGCCTACTCCAATTGCTTAAATAATCACATTCGTGACGAAATTTATCAACCACCCATAAAAGCACAAGCATTTCTCGATTTAGTTGACTCTTGTAACGAAGACGATTTAGAAAACACACTTTTAGCGTGAGTAGTGAAACGGAGGTCCTACTAGGTGCAGTTACAAATGTTTTCTAGTTACCTGAACAAATGGCCAAACAACTACGTTGTTTCGAAATGTTTATCAGAAGATTTAATTAAAAGCTTAGCCATCGGGATACCAACAGCGATCATTCGGCCAGCAATTGGTAATTTCTTCGTGCTATAAAAAGTAAAAACCCAACTACATATTGCTGCTTTAGTTACGAATACCATCAAAGAACCCATTCCAGGATATATTGACAATTACCACGGTTTCATTGGTCTTGTGGTTGGGGGTTACATGGGTGTAATCCAGACTTTGTATGTAAAAAAAGAAGTTCAAATGAATTTGGTTCCGGCAGACGTTGTTTGTAATTGTATTTTGGCAGCAGCGTGGCATACTGCCAACTGCAAAACTTTGACTGTGTTTAACTGTGTTGGCAAAAAAATATCTTTAGGTGGATGCACACATTTTTGGTGTTTTGTTAGCAATACACATAATATAAATTGCTTCTTACAGAAAAGTCAACAAACTTAATGAAAAGCTTTTACTGGGAATTTCCATCTGTCAAGTACTTATGGTATCAAAAGACTTCTATAACTGACAGTAAATTCTGGTACAATGTCAACACTTTCCGGATGTTAATATTAGCGTACTGCATAGATGCGATTTTCTTGTGTGTAAAAAAACCAGTTGGGTATTTTTAGCCTTGAAGGATGTAACTACATAATTATGTATCTATTTATATATTTTCCAGGGCTAGAAAATTGTGTAAACAAATTACTAACCAACTAGATTCTTTGTCGTACTTCACTTCTCGGGAATGGAGCTTCAGCGAAGACAATTTTATGAATTTGTGGAATAAAATGGGAGATCGGGACAGGGCCATATTTCCCTTTCATGTAGACCGAATAGACTGGAACGAATATTTACACAAATGTGCTTTAGGCATAAGGCTCTACTTACTCAAAGAACCGATTACTACTCTTCCACAAGCTAAAAAAAAAGTTAAAATATTATTTGCTCTTCACTACACAACTGTCGCGTTGTTCTATTATTTTCTTTACTTGCTCTTTGAATTTCTGATAAACAAAATCTATGATAAGTACAGTGTTTAGAAAAATGTACATACGTTAAAAAAACTGGCTCCCGATTTCTTCGTGGCTTAAAAACGCCACAAATTTCAAGAGATCAATAGCCGCATTTACGTATTAGTATCCATATAATGTGCACGTGTTACAAATAAAATTTAATACAAATTCTAACATTTACTTACAATTATGAATTTTCACACTGTTGCAGAAATGAAAGAAAGTTTCAGTTGATCAGCGACGAACGTTGAAAAATCTGCGGCTGCTTTTGGTCGTGTTTTTATTGTTTTTGCGGTAGTTCTTAGCTTCGTATTGTGGTGACCAAATTTGAATAATTTGAATGCGAAAAAAATGTAATTAAGAAAATCGTCAAACATAGGCAAATTCCAAAAACTCCACACAATCCAGAAAATAAAATCCAAGAATTCTGGGAAACCAAGGAAATCCAAGAAATTGAAGAAATCCAAAAAAAAATCCAGAAAATTGAGAAAATCCAAAGAATCCAGAAAACTAAGAAAATCCAGAATATCCAGAAGATGTAGAGCATCCAGAATATCAAGAATATCCAGAAAATACAGAAAATTCAGAAAATATAGAAAGTCCAGAAGATCCAGAGAATCTAAAAAATCAACAAAATTTAAAATAGCCAAAAAATTAAAAAATCCGAAAAATGCAGATAATCCAGGAAATCCTAAAAATCTAAAATATCCAAAAAAATTTAAAATCCGAAAAATCGAGAAAATGCAGAAATTTCAGAAAATCCAGAAAATAAAAAAAAATCCGAAAAATTAAGAAAATCAAGAAAATCCAAAATATCCAGAAAATTAAGAAAATCCAGAATATTCAGAAGATCTAGATGAGCATCCAGAATATCGAGAATATCCAGAAAATTCAGAAAATTCAGAAAATATAGAAAGTCCAGAAGATCCAGAGAATCTAAAAAATAAAAAAAAATCTAAAAAATAAAAACAAAAAATCCAGAAAATTAAGAAAATCTAGAAAATCCAGAATATCCAAAAGATCCAGAGCATCCAGAATGTCGAGAATATTCAGAAAATCCTGAAAATCTAGAAAATTCATAGAATCTAAAAACTCCAAAATATTCAAAAATCTAAAAAATCCAGAAGATCCAAATAATTTATAAAAATACAAAAAATATAAAAAATTCAAAAAATCTACACAATCCAGAAAATAAAATCCAAGAATTCTGGGAAACCAAGGAAATCCAAGTAATTCAAGAAATCCAAAAAAAATCCAAAAAATCCAGAAAATTAAGAAAATCCAGAATATCCAAAAGATGCAGAATATCGAGAATATCCAGAAACTACACAAAGTTCAGAAAATCCAGAGAATCTAAAAAATAAAAAAAAAATAAAATCCGAAAAATCGAGAAAATGCAGAAATTCCAGAAAATTCAGAAAATTAAGAAAACCCAAAAACTTCAAAAAGTCCAAAAAATACAAAAAATCCACAAAATCTAGGAAATCCAAAAAAATCTAAAAGGTCCAAAATTCAAAAGATCCAAAACTCAAAAGAACTAAAAGATCCAGAAGAACCCGAAAATTCGGAAAATTTAAGAAATCTAAAAAATAAAATCCAAGAATTCCGGGAAAGGGAGGAAACCCAGGAAATCCAAGAATCCCAAAAAATTAGAGATGTACCGACTAGTCGGCTTTGTCAAAACCGGTTTATAAATGCAACGTTCAGTGTGTTTTTTTTTTCAATTTCTCTGACTACCTTAAAAACTTGTTTTATTTTAATAAAAGAAATAACTAGAGTTTCTTTGTTTTCCCAAAAATGTGTTAAATTTGTTTGGATAATTTTAACATTTAATTTTTTGTAGTAACTCAGTACAAAAATAAAGAATAACACAATTTAGGGCAGTTTATACACTACTTAACGAATTTTAACCACTTTTTTGAAAAATTTTTGGAAATTTTGAATTCGCTTTGCGTGTTTATTGGACTAGATATCGTGACAGCGATTTCAGAATCGTAACTAGCGGAAGTTTATCTACACTTTGACACCAATCTTCGGTCGATTAAACCAATTTTAACCGGTTTTGACAAAGCCGACTAGTCGGCCGACACTAGTCGGTACATCTCTACAAAAAATTTAAAAAATCCAGAAAATTCAAAAATCCGAAAAATCCAGAGAATCTAAAAAAATTGGTCTAAAGACTTTAGACAGTACTTCCCTCGCTGTCGGAAACGTGACCACTGCATGAATATTATGTTTACGCATTCATGATTTTTTTGAGTCTCCCTGTATATGCAAAAAAAAAAATTTGAATGGAATGATAAATCACAAGAAGAGACTCACCATATTTTGTACATTTTAGATAGGATTTATTCAGCAAAATTTTGTGGTGACGTCATAATTTTTTTAGGGGGGGGGGACGACCAAATACATTTTGATCAAAAATTTACCATGCTTATGATAATGTTAAAACATATTCAAGATTTCAAAGCATTCGGTTTTGTAGTTCCTGAGTAAATCAGTAAAATAAATTTACGCATTCATTAATTTTTTTGAGTCACCCTGTATATGCAAATCGAAAAAATTTGAATGGAATGATAAATCACAAGAAGAGACTCACCATATTTTGTACATTTTAGATCGGATTTATTCGGCAAACTTTTGAGCCGACGTCATCAAGTTTTTGGAGGGGATAACCAAATATATTTTGACTAAAGATTTATGATGCTGTTTACAGCCTTAAAACATCTGCAACATTTCAAAGCATTCGCGTTAGCAGATTTAAAATTAAATTGCAAAATGTTGTTTGATAATTTTGATTTTTTTTTCCAAAAATCTGGAAGTTTCAAGTAAAAACTGAATTCGGAGTCGTAAACTACATGTGTAGGACTATGTTATTTTATACAATTTAAAAACCATTTACTATGTACAATTTTGAAGTGACGTCATCGCATTAGTGGTGGGGATGATTAGACAAATTTTGGTTAGCGTTTTACCATCTACATGATATTCTTAATATAAGTACAAAATTTCACAACAATCGGTCGAGTACTTTCGGAGATTATCTGTCTAATAAAAATCCAGGACGGCAGACGGAGAGACGGAAATGGGAGACCTATTTCTTCGTCTTCTAGGGGTCATGAAAGATCGAGAAAACGTAAAAGTAAAGAGTCGGCCGACGGACTCGATTACAATACTTCCTTTGCTTACGCTCGGGAAGTAAAAACGAAAAAGTTTATGATGAAAACTTGAAAAATGTCAAAATTGAAAATCAAACATGAAAATTAGAAGAAACGGAAATTTGAAAAATTGAAAGATTAAAAATTGAAAAACTTAAAATTCGAAAAAGTGTAAAATAAAAAAAAAGAAATATGTATTGTAAAATCAAAATATTGAAAATTAAAGAAACTGAAAAATGGGAAGACTGGAAATCCAAAAACTGCAAATTGAAAAATTTTAAACGTGGAAAATCATGGAATTGGAAAATGAAAGCCTGAAAATTTGAAAAATTGAATAAATAAAGAATTGTAAATCGAAACAAACAACAAAAAAATAAAGAAAATAAAGAAACCAAAAATTGTGTTATAAAATGGAGAAACGTCGAGAAAAATAAAATTAGTTATTCGCCAGATGGATCTCTTTACAAATTTCATTCGAGATACACTCACATAAAACTTTATGACAGATAATGAGTGAAACCCCTGCACAATGGCAACAATGCTTTTAACACCCTATGCGACTAGATATCGGCACATTCCGGCAGAATTTTTCAGGACCGTACTCTGTTAAAAAAATAAGGTGAAATAATAGACAAATTGTATTAGTTACATAATATTTATAAGATTATAAGTCACTTTCAGACTCAGATGAGTCGTTATTTATTGAAATTATAATTTCGTTAGGCCGTGTATTTACAAATGTTGATTCAACTTTTATAACATGCCAAATACAATTCTGTCATTTTTCAGAAGATATGAGTTCTGATTGTTGTCTAATGAGATTTACTACAGCGGGAGAACTTTCTGGACGATTATTATATTTTCTAATATATCTATAACATTACCAAAAGCAGGTAAAACTTTCAACTCAACCCGAATACGGCTCTGTATAAAATGACCTGTCAAGCCGTTTTCATAATTTATGGTTGCGGTTTCAGGAGCACCAATTTTTGAGTGATTGGTCCCATAAAAATGTATGTGGGTGTATCTCGCATACGGTTACTAATACACAACTGTCGCGTTGTTCGACTATTTTCTCTTTAAATGTCTGACAAAACCATCTACAATAAGTACTTATAAAATTTAAAAACATACGTACCTTAAAAAACTGGCGCCCGACTCCTCCGTGCCCCAAACTTCAAAAACCAAACACCCCCATTCACATATTAGTATCTTTATATTGTACACATGTCATAAATAAAATTAATACAAATTCTAACTTATCCTTACAAATAATAATATCTAACAAATGAATAAAAATTCTAATAAAATCAATTGTTACGATCAATTATGAGTTTTCAAACTACTACAGCTTTGAGAATCTTTAATAATAGGCGTCGACTCGCGTCTCTGTTCTTTGATGTTGTGTTCGTTCCTCAATGGCACGCTCTCCCTCCTTATTGCATTAATATGAGATATAAAAGATGGCGTCGAGTTCGGAATGTTCCCGTGCGGATATGTCAAATTCCCGAAATCCTTCTTGTTCGCCACTTCCTTAATCGAGCTCAAAGTCTTACTCAGCCACGGCGGCCAACTATTTTTCGCACTCGTCAACTCTATCTCGGTGTTCCTCAGCCGGTGAATCAAATCCTGCAAAACCCGTTAAAACCACCACACACCCTCATCCACCCTCACCTGATTCCGGCACTCCGCCTCCACTTGCGCCAACTTCGTCTGCGCCAACTCCAACTCCAACTCGCGCACCCTCTCCGACCGGTTCTCGTCGTCGTCGCAACTCTCCTTCGCCTCGTGCACCACCGTGCTGCATTTCTCGCAATTCGAGATTTTAAACTACAAGTAGCGAGTCATTGTCACTCCCGTTCGTCGGTTTTACCATTGTTTAAGTATATTATAGTTGGACAACCTATACGGACAATCACTTTCCCATGTAGAAAAGAATGAACATATATTTTACATCTCACTCGCTTCACTATGAAAGGGGGTAAAAATAGTGTGTAAGCACGTGATGTCGGTCGATAAGGTAGTAAACGGACGTATTAGTCAGTACGTTGTACGGGGAGCAGTCACAAAAGAAGCAAACGTACGTGTTGAAGACTTCACATATATGTAATATATTTATATGTAATGCATAGGTACCTGTTTCATGTGTGTGGCAGCACGTATATTTGCACAAAAACAAATATAGGTTAAGGTAGCAAAAATTTAATATCGCGGTATATTTAATTTGCCTCCAGAATAACTATGGGTTATCTTATTATCAAACTATGAACACCAAATTAATTGAATATGAACATCTTCTTACGTATTTTTTTTTATTAACAGTAGTCAGATCATTAAATACATATTATCATTGAAACTAAAATGCATTTTATCACAAAATATTTACCACCATTTAAATATATAAGATTTAGACATCAAGAAATAAATTTAAAACGAAAAAATTAAATGTAGCAGACTTAAAACAGCCTTAAATGCGTCTTGTATGTACGTGCTTATCAGTATGTAGACATTTTAACCCACAGCAATAATCATTTTTGAGGAGTAATGACCATTGAGTGATGACTAATGTAACACAGTAAATCCTCGAAATCGAAAATTTAAAACATTGAAAAATTCAAACATGGGAAAATTGTAAAATCGAAAAATCGAAACAAAAAAAATAAAAAAAAAAATTGGTCTAAAGAGTTTAGGCAGTACTTCCCTCGCTGTTTTTTTTCTCATTACATTTTTGTAGTGGGAATTTAAAAAAAAATTGCGATGACGTCATCAACATTTTTGCAAGGACACGTATATCAGTTGGGATAGATGTAGTGTAATACTAAGAATAAAATTATTATATTCTCAAATTTTCGGGAAAATGAATTGGGTCGTTTTGAATATTGATTTGTAATAATCAATAAAATAACGAAACAATTTACTCACGTATACGTATCAGAGGCAACTGAAAATCGTGTATGTATAAACATTCTTAATTTAAGATGACAGGCGTAACAGCATACGTGAGAGTCAAACAGAGAAACTGTAAACAAAACGACCATCGGTTTTATTGCTTCGACTTCCGCTTATTATATAAAACATTGGGTTATATTTTAATTCTTGACGGTGAAATTCACAATTGGTTGATTATAAACATGTCTATTTCACATTCGCGGAACCAAGTGAGCGCATAAAACAAATGCAGGTCTGTAATGTTAAAGTCGATGTAAATAAGCGTGCTACCCTTATGTTTCAACCGAGTTTTTCCTTTAACAAATTTTGTGTCTACCAAATTGGGTTGGTTGGGGTGTAATACTAATAATAAGTGTTGCCTTTAATTTAATCAATAAAATAAATTGACTTCATTAATTTTTTTGAACCACCTCTTAAGAAAATCTAAAAAATATGAATGGAATGATAAATCACAAGTACAAACTCATCATATTTTTTGCATTTTAGATAGGATTTATTCAGCAAAATTTAAGGGTGACGTCATCAATTTTTTTAGGAGGGATGAACAAATACATTTTGAACAAAAGTTTACCATGCTTATAATAACTTTAAAATATTCCCAAGATTTCAAAGCATTCGGTTTTGTAATTCCTGATTAAATCGATAAAATAAATTCACGCCTTCATTAATTTTTTTGAGTCACCCTGCATATGCAAATCCAAAAATATGAATGGAATGATAAATCATAAGTACAGACTCATCATATTTTGTACATTTTAGATACGATTTATTCGGCAAACTTTTGAGCTGACGTCATCAGTTTTTTGTAGAAGATAACCAAATATATTTTGACTAAAAATTTATTATGCTCTTTATAACCTTAAAACATCTGCAAGATTTCAAAGCATTCGGTGTTGTAGTTCCTGATTAAATCAATAAAATAAATTTACGCATTCATTAATTTTTTTGGTCACCCTGTATATGCAAATCGAAAAAATTTTAATGGAATGATAAATCACAAGAAGAGACTCACCATATTTTGTACATTTTAGATAGGATTTATTCAGCAAAATTTTGTGGTGACGTCATAAATTTTTTAGGGGGGACGACCAAATACATTTTGATCAAAAATTTACCATGCTTATGATAATTTTAAAATATCTTCAAGATTTCGAAGCATTCGGTTTTGTAGTTCCTGAGTAAATCAGTAAAATAAATTTACGCTTTCATTTATTTTCTTGAATCACCCTGTATATGCAAATCCAAAAAATATGAATGGAGTGATAGATCACAAGTACAGACTGATCATATTTTGTACATTTTAGATATGATTTATTCGGCAAATTTTCGAGCTGACGTCATCAAGTTTTTGGAGGGATAAGCAAATATATTTTGACTAAACATTTATTATGCTCTTTATAACCTTAAAACATGTGCAAGAAGTCAGAGCATTCCGTTTTGTAGTTCCTGATTAAATCAATAAAACATATTTACGCATTCATTAATTTTTTTGAGTCACTCTGCATATGCAAATCCGAAAAATATGAATGGAGTGATAAATGACAAGTACAGGCTCATCATATTTTGTACATTTTAGATATGATTTATTCGGCAAACTTTCGAGCTGACGTCATCAAGTTTTTGGAGGGGACAAGCAAATATATTTTGACTAAACATTTATTATGCTCTTTATGACCTTAAAACATCTGCAAGATTTCAGAGCATTCGGTTTTGTAGTTCCTGATTAAATCAATAAAATATATTTACGCATTCATTAATTTTTTTGAGTCACCCTGTATATGCAAATCCAAAAAATATGAATGGAGTGATAGATCACAAGTACAGACTCATCATATTTTGTACATTTTAGATATGATTTATTCCACAAACTTTTGAGCTGACGTCATCAAGTTTTTGGAGGGGATAAGCAAATATTTTTTGACTAAAGATTTATGATGCTCTTTATAGCCTTAAAACATCTGCAACATTTCAAAGCATTCTGGTTAGCAGATTAAAGATTAAATTTCAAAATGTTGTTTTATAATTTTGATTTTTTTTCCAAAAATCTGGACGTTTCGGGTGAAAAGTCGATTCAGAGTTGTAAACTACATGTGTAGGACTATGTTATTTTATACAATTGAAAACCCATTTACTATGTACAATTTTGAAGTGACGTCATCGCATTAGTGGTGGGGATGATTAGACAAATTTTGGTTAGCGTTTTACCATCTACATGATATTCTTAATATAAGTACAAAATTTCACAACAATCGGTCGAGTACTTTCGGAGATTATCTGTCTAATAAAAATCCGGGACGGCAGACGGACAGACAGACGGACGGACAGACGGACGGACAGACGGACGGACGGACGGACAGACGGACAGACGGACAGACGGACAGACAGACGGAAATGGGAGACCTATTTTTTCGTCTTCTAGGGGTCATGAAAGATTGAGAAAACGTAAAAGTAGAGAGTCGGCCGACGGACTCGATTACAATACTTCCTTTGCTTACGCTCGGAAAGTAATAAAAATTGGAAAATCTAAGATTTAAAAATCGAGAAACTGAACAATGGGTTAATTCAAAAATCGAAACATCGAAAAATTGGAAAATCAAAAAATAAAAAAAAATTGGTCAATCGAACATTTAAAAATTCCGAAAAATCACAAACAATTAAAAAATTGAGAAACAGAAAAGTCAAAAAAGCAGAGTCGAAAAATCGGAACCTTAAAAAATCGAAAAATTGAAAAATCAAAAACCTGAATAATCGAAAGATTGAAGAACTGAAGAACTGAAAAATCGAAACTTTGGGAAGTGGAGAAATGGGAATATGAAAAAATAGATTAACTGAGAAATCCGAAAACTGAATATTCAGAAATGTCAAAATTTGAAAAATAAAAAAATATTGAAGAACTGAAAAATCGAAAAATCTAAAATTTAAAACATTGAAAAGTTAAAATATCCTAAAACTGAAAAATGGAGAAATCCAAACATCAAAAAATCAAAAAAATAAAAATTCGAAAATCTAAAATTTAAAAATCGAAAAACTGAAAAATCAACGAATCGAAAAGTCGAAAATTTTAAAAATTGGAAAATTGAAAAATCGGATAAATCAAAAAATTGAGAAACCGGAATAGACCAAAATCGAAAAATCGAAAACTTAAATATGGAAAAATTGATAAAGCGAGAGATTGAACAATCAAAACATCGAAACATCCGAATCTCAATAAATTGAGATCTCAAAAAATTTAAAAAATTAAAATATAGAACTGAAAATACGAGAAAGCGAAAAATCTAGAAATTTAAAAATTGAAATATGGAAAAGTTGAAAAATTGAAATATAAAACACTCAAATATCGCAAAATTGAAGAATCGAGAAATCCCATTCAATTTAAAAAATTGAGAAATCGGGACATTGAAAAATTGGAAAATCCAGAAATTGAAAAGCTCAAAAGAAAAAAATCGAAAAAATGGAGGATCGAGAAATTGAGGAGTCGGAAGCCGAAAAGGAAAGTTAAAAACTGAAAAATTGAGAAATTGAACAATCAAAACAATGAAACATTTGAATTCGATAAATTGAGAAATTAAAAAATTGAATCGAAAAATTTTAAAAAAGAAAAATTGGAAAATCGAAAATTAAAATTAAAAAAATCGAAAAATTGAAAAATTGAAAACTCGAGATATCGAAAAACCTAGAATTTTAAAAAATGAAATATTAAAACATCGGAAAGTTGAAAAATTGAGAAATCGAAGTATAAAACAGTTGCAAAATTGAAAAATCGAAAGTTTACAATAAATTGAAAATCCAAAAAGTAAAAAATCGAAACATCGAAAAATTGGAAAATCAAAAAATAAAAAAAAATTGATCAATCGAACGTTTAAAAATTCTGAAAAATCACA